TTTAATTTCTTGGCTGAAATCCCCATCTGCGGTGATCTTGGAGCCCAGGAAAATAAAATCTGTCACTACCTCCATTTATTTCCCATCTATTTGCCAGGAATTGAGAGGGCCAGATGCCATGATCTTAGTTTTCTTAATGTTGAGTTTCAAGCCAACTTTTGCACTCTTTCTTCACCCTCATCAAGATGCTCTTTAGTTCCTCTTCACTTTCTGCCATTAGAGTGGTATCATCTGCATACCTGAGGTTGTTGGTATTTTGCCCGACAATCTTAATTCCAACTTTTAATTCATCTAGCCCTGTCTTTCTCATGATGTGCCCTGCATATAAGTTAAATAGGCAGGGCGACAGTATACAGTCTTGCCGGACTCCTTTCCCAATTTTGAACCAATCAGTGGTTCCGTGCCCAGTTGTCACTGTTGCTTCTTGACCCGCATATAGGTTTCTCAAGAGACAAATAAGATTGTCTGGTGCTCCTATTTCTTTAAGAATTTGCCACAATTTGTTGCGATCCACACAATCAAAGGTTTTAGCATAGTCAATGAAACAGAAGTAGATGTTTTTCTGGAACTCCCTAGCTTTCTCTATGATCCATTTAATTATATATGTTATTTTATTGTCCTATTACTTTTCCCTTTTCCCGATAATGAATTGTTACATTAAACTATTTCCCTTTTTACTGTACTCTTTTATTATAAAGGCTGGTCAAAACTGTAATAAAGATATTTGATTTGATTTGGAAATGATTTGCAGCTGTTTTTTCTGGCGTCTGTAAGTGGCTTTAACACTACCTTAATTCACAACCATCCCTGACAAAGCATAATGCCTGGGTTAACAAAAAACACTAAAAAAAAAAGTCAGATAAACCGCATTGCAGATTAGGCTGATCTGAGAATCCAGATGCTGTTTTTTTGTTTTTTTAAGCACAGGAACCCTTAAAGAACATATTCCTAGCCAGCTGCTTTCCAGATGTGATGCAATTCAACCACCATTTGGGAATCCTGAGACATATTTCAATGAAGTACACCATGTTGGAAAAAGCTGCTGTGAAGCATGTCCCATTAAGCAAATTAATATATGCTTGGGATTGTTATTATGTAGATGCTACCTAAGCAGTGTGGATTTTTATTTTCTTTAAAAGCAACATTTCTTTTTTGGGTCCTCATTTAGTTTATAAACAATCAACAAACAAATAAATAAGCAAGCAAGCAAGCAAGCCTGACTTGGTATAATCAGCAGGACTTGCCATGTAATTAATAGTTCTCAGCCAATCCATTACAGTCATACTGATTACTTCCTCCTCTTGTGCATCTCTATAAAGTAGGTTTTTATAGGAAAGTAGGAGCTGTTAGTGTGGAAAATAACAGGAGAGATGCAATTCAGCTGGTTCTTTGAGAGTTCAGTGTATGCTTACATCATAATATCTATTTGTATGTGTGTGTGTGTGGGGGGGGGGGTGTTAGGCACCACAAATTCTGTTTTGCATGAATGAACAGCATTTCCAATTTCAGCTCCAAATCATGCCACAGTTTCCCAAGAGATAACCAACTAGGGCTCATATTATCTGGGCAGGGCTGCAATACAGTGGTGGGTTGCTACTGGTTCGCCCCGGGTCGGGCAAACCGGTAGTGGTGGCGGCAGGAGGCTCCACTTACCCACCCAGATGCTTCTACACATGCGCAGAAGTGTTGCGCAAGCACCCACGAGCAAACCGGTAGCTAGGGGTTTTGAAACCCACCCCTGCCGCAATATTTATTTTATCTGGGCTGCAAAATCGAGAAAACCAACAGTTGGCATTTTTGGCAGTGAAGAGAACAGAACTCTACCATAAGTCACAAAAAGTATATAAGAGAATAGATGGATTGTGTAAGTTTTTAAAGGGCCCCATGAGTCTTGTTGTTTTGCTCTGGGACAGATAAGAGTCCTGTAATTGTGTTATGCATTGAGTGATGCATAAAATGTTTTGGAACAGGCACATTCCCTTTAATAAGTGGAGTATTTAAAGCGATGGCATCTTTGCTTTAGACTTCTGTGGAAAAAGCTGATCTGCTTGAACAAAGGGCAAAGTCCAAAGCACTTCTGAATCATTTTTCAAGCACACACAGCCCTATTGAGCAATGTTATGACTAACTCTGAACCGACTGAAGGTAAAGTGCTAATCACCTAGCAGTTAAGCTGCTTGTAATCACAAGAAAATGAGGCTGAATTAACTGACTTAAGAAATATTCCCTTTGGTCAGCTAAGTTTCTTATCGTTTGGGATGTTTATGTAACTCAAGAGTTGAGCTATTTGCCGCTCCCTGAAGTCTATGCCCAGATTAGCAATTGGAGGTAAGACTATCCAGGCATGGATTAATGATTAGCCAAGTTCAACATTCTACCTGCAGTAATAGTTAGAAGCCACGTTACATTACAGCACTAACAGGACCATTCACAGTGAGCATCCTGCGTTTTTAGTTTGAGGTGCAATATTGTGGTCATTTGACTTAATTGCATATGACACTCAGACCCAGACAGCCACATTAACCTGCTTTCAACCAATCTATAAGCAAGCAGAAAAGCACACTTGCATTAACTGTACTGCCATTATTGCTGATCCTATTCTGCCTCTGCAATGAAGAAAGCTTGTGCACTCAGGTAAATAGGTGTGGGACTGGATATTTGTTATGCTGAAGGTTTCAATGACATCAGAGAAATTGTTTAGAATAGCTACCAACATCAGAATTTGGGATTTTTTTTTTCCTGGGACAGAATCACTCAAAATAAGAGTATATGTGAAAACTTTGAGGAACCTCTGATTTTAGCACTGTTGGTTATCGGCATCCAGAATAGTTATCTTGATTGTACTCATCTGAGCAATACATGATTATTTTGATTATTTTGAAAAGTAACATATATTCATTTACGTGGGAGGGGAAAAATTCTTCTTTTTGGACTGAAGAATGGGGTATTGTCCTGTGCATCTATCCATCAACCAGAAGTCTTCAAAAGTGAGAATTCTATTCACTCTGTCTAAGAAAATGTCATCTATGGACAGTATTTACACATGAGTAGCAGTTTAAAAAGTACAAAGGTTGTAAGAAAGAGTACATTCTTCATGGCATGTATAGTTTAATTTTATGCACATATGTGTGTGTCTATACCCACATCCATACCCACAGATATCTACACAAGTTAAATATGCAGTTTTTAAAAACAAAATAGGATTGTATAAGTATATGATCCATTTTTCTTCCCAGAAAAAATTCTACAGTACAAAAAAAACCCAGGTTATTAATTGCCCACAAATTATAATTTATTCCTCTTTTTGGTGACTGAATTTGGTTCAGAAAATATCTAGCCATATTCATGTGGTTCTTATAAATTCCATTTATGTAATTAATGTTTAAGTACATTATATTGTATAGGTCATCACCTGTACATCATGCTACTATTGCAAACACCTATGCCTAAAAAAGGACAAAAGAAATTGTATTCCCTTGAATACAATTTTACCAATATACATTGCACTTTTTCATAAAACATTTCCATATAAAAATAGTTGATTTACTCTAATCATCTTCTATTCAAGCAAGTTTGGGATAAATGTGTGATTCTTTAACTTTTGAATTGCATATCATTTATGAAAACGTACATTTGAAGGGTTTGGGTTCAGAAGCCTAGGCCTTGGATTCAGATCAAACGCAGATGTGAATTTTATTTTGAAGCTTTCATTTTGTTCAATGCAGTCAATGAACTGGGCCTTATCTTGCTTGGCAAGCTAGGAGAAATCCTAAAGCAATTTAACAATGTATAAACCTATACATGTGTAATCCTAGCCTGTCTCAAGTACTGGATCTGCAGCAAATACTGCATTAAAGAAAACCGTGGTAAGCCCAGTCAATAATTCCCTTTTTATATTTAATTGAGCACTTCCTGCTTAATGCTCTTCTCATCTCTCTGAGCTATTCAGTTTTCTACAGGATGAATGAAAAATGATTTGCAAAAAGACTGCACTGTAATTTGTCATCTCTACATTACCTGACCAAAAAAGGATTACTTTTATTGCAAATGATAATGCCAGAGGAAGCAGATCAATGATGGCAGAAGCTGCAATTAACAATAAATATCTTTATGGAAGAACTATAAAATTCTGAGTACTGATTTAGCTCTACTCTTTTCTGAAACATCCCTAGTGATATGTCTTAACATTTTGTCATCAGTTGTTGTGGTCCGCCAGCAGCCTGCGGAACTGGAAGCAGAGTCGCACAGTAAGAAGGCTGGGGAGGACCATGGGCCAGTCCTGGAGTCTGGGGAAAGCTCAGATGAGGGCTCTGTGTCGGAGGCAGAGAAAGGGCCATCTGGGAGGTACGTGCTGCCACCGGAGCCTCCAGAGTTGGACCTCAGCGAGGCAGAGGAACAGGGGGAGCCTGTTCCCAGTGCACATATGCGCAGAGCTGCCAGAAGGCAAGAACAGCTAAAACAAAAGGGACGACTTGGGAGTAGGGCTGGGAGATGATTGGCCCCTCTCATAAGACTTAAAAGAGGAGAAAAGGCATGTGGGCCTATGCAGGAAGCAACATTTGTTCATTTGGTTCAGTTTAAAACCTGAAGCTCTGTTTGATTCTGGACTCCGTGTGGCTTTGCCAATTAGATCTTTGACAGCGTGTCAAGGCAGATAAAGGTGGGTGATTTTCTTGAAGGACTTCTCCCGAAGGTCTCTTTACAACTAATTGGGACTCATCAGTGAATGAACAGAATTCACAGCTTTTGCAATAAAAGAGTTTTTGGGACTACTCATGTATTTTAATGGCTCAGGAAGCCTAGGTCAGAACATCAGTATCTGTTCTGAGCTACTCAAGAATTTTCAGTCAAAAATCACTGTTATTACCAGTTCCTTGTATCTTCTTTTTAGTTTTGCTGTATATTGCAAGTTATCAACCTGTTTCCTCTATATTGGAGGTTATCATAGCTTAACTTTCCAAAAAGGGAACAGTGTGGAGAGGTTGTCATATAAGTGAATGTACTGCAGGAAATGAATGTATTTATTTTGCATTTTTATTCTGCTTTTTTCCCTGACTTCAAGATAATGGCTAAATCTGTTTTCTCCTCAACTTTTCTCATTAGAGAGAGATGTCATGGAATCCATAGGGCTAGAGTCTGAGATCAGAGTGGCCCCACTCTTAATATATTCCAAATATACCAAAAGTCATAAGAAGCATGAATTTGCTTATGATTACTACAGATTTATAATCAGATAATTCCACTTTACTGAGGGTATGTATGGTCAATGGGCATAATCCTGTCTCCCATACCATGTGTTCCCTCTACATATCATTTTATGTAAAGTTGGTGGATAAGAGATGGGAAGCCTGTGACTCTCCAAATGTTGCTGAATAACAACAAAGGCCTAGGTTTGTGCAACCGAGAGTAAAAAACATTGGTTGATGCTTTGATGTATGAGATAAACCTTCACTGAAAAGCAGATAATTTAATCACCTCCTGCAAATGATACATAAAATTTATATAATTTTATAATATAATTTCTATTTGAAGATTGACACATACACTAACACCCACACATATACCCCAAGATACCTTTTCTAGACAGGGAGATAAATCCAAATGGGAAGCTACCTTTGTTCCACAAAACAGAGGTTCTTAAACTGTGGGTCGTGATCCCCAGCAGGCCATGAATAAACTAGAAGAAGATCACAAGGATTTTTTAAGATTTTGCTCAGGCACGATGCTCAAGCTTCAACTTTAGAGTACCGCTAATAAGTTTACATATTGAATATTATTAAGCTTTGGTTAGCAGAAGCACAAGATTGCTATGAACATTTAACAGTTTGTATTCTTTAAATTACTGTTGTAGAACATTAGTTTGAAATACCTGCATATCTATTTTATAATACTTTTAAAAATTGTCAATCGCTGTTATGTTAAAATGCATATAAATGTATGCTTTTAAATGTAGTATATTTTGTGCACTGGGTTTTTAACACAATTAAAATGAGCAAACCTGATTTCAGGATAGTATAACCACTACACCAGATGTTCATGTGAGAAACCATTATTCTTATTCATATACATATGGATCACTGTTATCTAGATCTGAATTCTCTTATAAATATCTCTGTGTCTGGGCATTTCTGGAATACATATAGCAGATCCATAGTTTTTGACTGCCTGTAATAGTACAATGACAATGAATTTAAGGAACTATTCCATGCTTGATTACAGCTGATATACGCCATACTACTGTGGAGGAACTATTGATAGATGTATTTTCTGATACTTTCTTGGGGGAAAAAAATCCTGATGTCTCTCTTTGAATTTTGATCAGTGCTCATTAGCACAAAAAAACTAAACACAAAGGCAAAGAATACTTTGTAGAGTGTTTCTCAGCCTTTGCATCTTTAAGATGTACTCCAGCATGCTTGGCTGGAGAATTCTGGGAGCTGAAGTCCACATAGAGCCTTATTTAGTCAGGATTTTCTATGATTGATGAAATGCCATCAGATTGGTGTCTACCCTTAACAGCCACAAAGAGAGATTTTTTCTAGGATTTGATCCAAATATAATCTTTCAGGTCTTGCAGTTGTTGACATAATGAACAAATTAATGATGAAAGACATTAAATATGGAACAAGCAATAGGTTTTCTTGTTTCAAAATGAATGTGAATATGGAATTATGAAATTATGTGAAAGTAAGCAAACTCATCTTTTCCTTTAAAAATATGGTTTTAAATCTGATTTTGATTTTTGTTTGTTGCCAATGAAACATATTTATTTTATAAAGTTAATAGCTACATTAATTTAATGTGATAAAGTTTAATTCATAAAAGTGGTGTGATTGGTTTTTTTTTTTTGGACTAATCCTAGTTTACTCATGGAGGCAGAACATTTCCACACAAATTAATTCATCATTTTAGGGGACTGTTAGTTTGAAGGAGAGATTTTTTCGGTCCTTTACTTTTCACAATAATTAAATAAATAACTTATTATACTCTAGAAAGAATGCAAAAGTACAGTGGATTTCCTTTTGGATCAGCAACTTTGACACATTACTATAAGGACATACATACGTAGCAGTAATAAATTTCGTCCATGTTAGCAGCAATTTTTTTTGGTAACAAACGTCATTACAGTGAAAAAATAGATTTCACAAAGACTTATCAGCACTAAGCTTTAAATACAATTACATGACATATTTTGCAGTTAACAGCAGATCTGAGAGGAATGGACAAATGCTTGTGATACATCTCTTACAGGGCATACGCTCACCTCTTTTAATGCCTCATTAATATTATCAAAACATCCAGAGCCCAAATGGGCTGCATTTACTAAAAGCAAAATAGCCACTTACTGTTTACCAACCATATTTTTTCGACCAATATACTCTATTAATTAGCACTTCAAGTGCTGGTTTAGCTTCCCAAGTCCAGAATAAATTAAAATAAAAAAAAAATATTTCATTCTTGATCCCTGCCTGCAGATCTACATAAACAGAGCTCTCTTACCCATTGGGATCAGCAATCTTTCAGTGGTGGGGACTGAAGTGTATGTATATAAAGGACACACATCAAGTGTATGTATATAAAGGACACACAAAGGCAACGGGGGTGGAGGGAGTGCAGGTGAAGGAAAAATAGGAACAGAAGAAAAATCAAGGGGCTGCAGCAAAAATGGAATTTGGAATAATTTTTAATATATTAACTTGATAATAATTAATATTAAAGTTAATATTTGTAGAATCAGAACAAATACCTATCTAAACTTGCATCCAATTTCCTGCAATAATCAATCACTTCTGGAAACCCACAGGCAAGATATGGCAGCTAAATGTTCTCATGTACTAATCCTTGGTTTGTTTAACCATGGTTTTTTGAATCAGTCACAGTGACTGTATTTATTCACAACATTGAGCAATAAACTAGGTATGAAGAGATGGCCTTTATGGCCCCTAGAGATGCCCCTCATAGAGTGGAAGAGTCTCTTATAGTTTGGGGGGGGGGAATTAAGAAGAAAATGAGTACCCATTCATCCCCCAGCCTTAAGAAGGAGCCAAAGGCAAGCCATTTCTGAGAAATCTTGTCAAGAAAACTGCAGGGGGCTTCTCCAGGCAGTCACCAAGAATCTGACATGGTTGACCGGAAGGAGAAAAAAAAAATCCTCATCTAATTTCAATTTTAAAAAACTCTGAAACCCCACCTTCCCCAAGCCCTAACGCTCAACACCAGGAGTGGGCAACTATGGCCCCTTCACGACCTGCGGACCTCAACTCCCAGCATTCCTGAGCCACATGGCTGGCTCAGGAATTCTTGGAGTTGAAGTCCCCAGGTCATAAAGGGGCCATAGCTTGCCCACCCCTACTTCAGGAAAAAGAGAAAAGAAAGAAAAAGATATTATATTGTATGGAGCTGCAATGATAATAATCTTTTAAAAGAGATCCCTTTTTTCTATTTGCCCACTGCTATCTTGTGGGCTGGACTAGAAGACCTCCAAGGATCCCTTCCAGCTCTATTCTATTCTAACCCAAAACAGCCTTGGGAATATTGCAGAATGAAATCCCAGACTGACCTTTTCCCACACAGGAGAATGAAGGGTTTTGTTAGCACGAAAGGGTTCCTGACTTCCAGTCTGTGCATGCCAGCCTTAGACAAAAAGGCTGCTACCTATTGAGGAATGAGGAATGTTCAGACAAGCCTCTATTTCCATGATAAGAACTGCCCCACATTTTCCAGACAAATAATAATAATAATTTTGATTTTGACTGTGGGAAGTTTGGTTATTCAGCGTCAACTTTGCTATCTATTTATCTACCTAGATAGACAGACAGACAGATATGGCCAGTTTTGCTATATAAGAATGCCAACTTGGGGAAGAAGAAGCCGTCTTCTCTGTCTTTCTGAAAGAGCAGAGTTAAGACATGTTTGCGCTTGCTTGCTTGCTGTTACAGAAATGACAGCCAGCGATTCCCGGGTGGCAGAGGAACAGACTTGGAAAACCACAATCAGAAACCATCTTCTCACAGACACTGTAACTACTCAAGACAGCTCTATGCCCTCAGGCTTCTTTAAACCAGGCATCTGCCCGTGCAACCTACTTGTACCATTAAAAAAAAAAGCAATGCTGTTTTATAATAATGAGCACCATTCCATTATTTAGGGGAGGGGGAGGCGACTGTTTAGTACCATGGCACATTAAAACTGAATATAGTACATAAGACATGAGAACTGGGATTGGATCAGTGGTGGGATTCAAATAATTTAACAACCGGTTCTCTGCCCTAATGACCAGCTGGGTGGGCATGGCCATGGTGGGCGTGCCCAGGGGGTGTGACAGGCAGCACTCGGCCTCCTGCACCCCCTTGAGAGCAAAAATGGGCCATGGGGGACCGCACCGTGCCCACCCATGCCCTGTTTTGGGCCTAGTAGGCCTCCCTGCAGCCCCCTGGGAGCCAAAACAGGGTGCGTGGGGACTTCTGGAAGGGGCAGGACGGGGCGAGCCAGCAATTTAACAGGTGGTTCAGCTGAAGTGGTGTGAAACAGTTGAATCCCACCACTGGATTGGATTACCAGTTGCAGCTCTGGGGTAACATTATTTCTAATCTGAGACAATCCTGAACCTTTTGGGGTGGGTTTTTTTAGGACTCTGAAGTAATGGAAGGGGAGGAAGAGTTCTGGGTCAAGCAATTGGGCGGCAGGCAGGCCCACGACCGCACCCCAAAGTTTCTTCTCTGAAATCCTAGAGTGTGTGTAAGTTGCTGAAGGCAGTACTGGCAAGGTTCATGCCTCATGCTTATATTATAGATTTTTTTTTTAAAAAAATAAGCCCTTTCCAGTTCAAACATTGCACTAAGCTCCATAAACTCAAAGGTCTAAATTTGCACAACATATTCAAGCCAGGCAAAACCACTATTATGGCTTCCTGTGATGTATCATCTCAATTACTACTGAGAGGGTAGGTAGGTAGGTAGGTAGGTAGGTAGGTAGGTAGGTAGGTAGCTAGCTAGCTAGCTAGACAGACAGACAGACAGACAGACAGACAGACAGACAGACAGACAGACAGACAATCTGCCTAATTGAAAGGCAGCTTTCTATATTTAGAGAAGACCCTATCTATTCCACTGTAAACATTAACTTAGCAATTTAGACCAGAATCTTGGAGATAATTGTTTCCTGACATATAACTTGTCCCACAAGTTAATATCCATCCATATCGATCACTGTAGTATCTTATAAATACAAGCCACAAAGTGGACATGTACCTTTCTCACCTTTCATACAGTGTACCCATCCATACCAGTGGTGAGTTTCTACCGGTTTGTCCCAGTTCAGGTGAACCGGTAGTGGTGGCGGCAGGAGGCTCCGCCCACCCGCCTGGACATCATCATGGATGCTCTGCACATGCACAGAAGTGCCATGCGCACGTTCCCAGTTCTGAACCAGTAGTGAAGGTAAGTGGAACCCACTACTGATACACACACACACACACACACACACACACACACATGCTCACACACACAGAAACACAGACACACAAAGTTTTCTTATACAGAAATTATGCTTTTCATTGTTGGAAACAATGAAATTATCTCTCAGAGACAATTAACTGTAGGTTTCTCTTTGTTATGAAAATGTACATCAAAAGAGGTCCATGCATGACTCATGCTTTCTGTTCTAAACCACAACAAGAAGCATCAGCTTTCACTTCTTGAGTCTGATCTTCAGGTTCAATACATCCTTTAAGAAGCAGCAAAGATTCTTCTGCTCCTTTAATGAAAAAAAATCGGGAAATGGATGTTGTAAATCCGTTCTCTGTTGTGTTCATTCTTCATTGAATGCATCTATTCTGAAAAAAAGAGAAAGACGTTTTATTGAAATGCTCGCATGCTTCACTCTGCCATTGTGTTAAGGTGCTTTATTCAGATTGATGCCGAGAAACTTTTTTATATTCATTTCCACACATTTGTTGCATTTATCACAAACCAAGGATGAATGGAAACTTTCCCCATTTCCCACAGTACATGCTATGTCCATATCTCAAAAGTCTTCAGACCCAATACAAACTAGCATTCTTCTGCTAGTACACATTATAGTCAAGTAGTTTCTTTGACCAGATTTTCCTAACATTCTAAGCCATGGCTTGGAGAGCATAACATTGGGAGATTTGCTCACTTCATCCATTCATCATCAAATCTGAACAGAAGGGTTAGTCAGTGTTAAACTTCTTCTTTGAACATAATGTTATCCACTATGTCAAGCCACTCTGTTATCTCCACTGCTCCTCAGTGAAAGGGGTTCATGATTATACTTTTGAAATCAAAGCAACAACAACAAAAGATCACATTAAATTCTTCTATCCTTAATCTTTTTTTCCACCTATTTATATTTACTGCAAAATGGCAATAATTGAAATTTGTACTATAACTAAACAATTGCAGCTTGTACTATATGTTCACACAGTTCTTTTTTTGAACAGTATACCACTTGTACTCTATGCCCTGATAATAATCAGATCAATTCACTTTAAGTCAATGACATGATCAAAGAAAGGGCACATAATTGCAATTCTGATATCATATACATGCAGTGGATAATTCACTTTTACAAAAAGTCTATAAAATGTTTTATAACAATATAATGAATTAACAAGAAGAGGAGTTGTATTTGGCATTGTACAAATCATGATAGAAAAGCTCAAGTTCCCTTCATCATACTATGAGAATCAGATATACAGTACCAAGTCCATATTTTCACTACATTTTTATCACAGCAACCAAATTGCCTTCACGCTTTTGAGTTGCTGGAAAAATAACTTCCTTTCAAAGTGCCCAATATTCCCCAAATTGCTCTCTTCATCAGCATAAGATGCAGTGTTAAGAGAGTGGACTGGTACCACTCAAATTTCAAATTTTTTTACTACTGGTTCTGTGGGTGTGATTTGGTGGGCGTGGTTTGGTGTGCCTGGCAGAGAAAGGATCATGTAAAATCTCCATTTCCACCCCACTCCAGGGGAAGGTTACTAGAAAATCCCCATTTTCTCCTGATCAGCTGGGACTTGGGAGGCAGAGAATAGATGGGGGTGGGGCCAGTCAGAATTTTTTTTCTCCAGAACTGGTCAGAACCTGCTGAAACCCACCTCTGCTCCACTCCCAGTTATGGAAGTTCATTGACTAATTTTAGGCAGATACTCAGCCCACCTCCTTCACAAAGTTGTGGTCCTGAGAAAGAGAGCAACTTTCAAGAAGAAGCTATTTTCTCAGAAACCATAGCATACAGAAGAATACAGGTAGCCCTCGACCTATAACAGTTCATTTAGTGACCATTCAAAGTTCTAACAACACTGATAAAAGCAACTTATGACCATTCTGTATATTTATGACTGTTGCAGCATCCCCATGTGATCAAAATTCAGACACTTGGCAACTGATTCACATTTACGACCGTTGCAATGTCCCAGGATCATGTGATCACATTTTGCAACCTTCTGACAAGCAAAGTCAACGGGGAAGCCAGATTCACTTAACAACCCTGTTACTAATTTAACAACTGCAGTGGTTAACTTAACAACTGAGGCAAGAAAGGTCATAATAAGAGGCAAAGCACACTTAACAACTGTCTTGCTAGCGCAACAGAAATTTTGGGCTCATTTGTGGTCGTAAATCAAGGACTACCTGTATCTGCCCAGACACAAACACTGTGAATTTTCTCACTTTCCTTTTTCAAAGGCGGAACACCCAAAATTGCTCATCTTCAAGCAATACTAGGTAACTATGCAAGGCAACTCCTTCCACGTCATAAAGTTATGTTTTTCATGTCAAAGCCAGCAGAATGTAAGAAGAGCTTGTCTTTTTTTCTCAGTGTGATTGTCTCCTTTGTCCTTTCAGTTTTTTACAGAAATTGTTTAGGCAACACAAGAACCCACTGAACCTGAGTGGCACTGAACTGAAAAGGCAGAATGAAGTGAGTCTGGAGTAGGTGGGGCCAGCACCACTAATTCTTTGTGGGTAATTGCTGCCAGACAGAATTTAACAGGTATTGGCAAGAAAGCTGCTTTAACTACTAGTTAATAGCTCCCTTGCAAATAGGAGCTTAGCATCTGCTGGGTGAGATATGCCTGAATTTCAGAATTTATAGATTCCATTTCCGGCAGATACAAGAGAACTTCTCCTGGCTTAACTCACCAGTATTCAATGTAGAGCAGGGATGTCAAACTCACATCACGACAGCATCACGTGACGTAGCGGAACTTTTTTCCCCTTCGCTAAACCGGGGGTGGGGGTGGCCAGTGCGTGATGCATTTGGCCCGCGGACCGGGAGTTTGACAGCCCTGATGTAGAAACAATCTATACCAGTTGAATACATTATATTGATTACAAACTTCAAACAGTGCTATGTTTATAGCTCCATTAATTATTCTAATTTCAGGAGCATTCACACAAAATTATTGCAGCACTGATCCTTATCTGACTTCCTGCTAGGTTCCTTGTTCCTCTATGGGCATAAATTCAGCCATTGTCTACTATCTTGGCATTGGATGGACCTGGAAGAAAGAAAGACAAAATGTTCTTCAACTAAATCTTTTCCCCTTTTAAATGTAAATTTTAATTTGTTTTTAAATTATTGGGTATTTTAAATTTGTCTCAGCCAAATTATTTAATTTGTTTTTATTCTATTTTAAATTTTTGTATTTATGTGTTTTATTCTGTGGCTGTTCACCGTCCTGAGTCCTTCGGGAGTAGGGCGGTATATAAATCCAATCCAACCCAATCCAATCCAATCAAACGAATCACAGTATGCAAGAACTGGATTGTTTTGACCATACAGGTAATCCTTGATTTACAACCATTTGTTTAGAGACCGTTTGAAGTTAGAACAACACTGAATTTAATTTAATTTAATTTAATTTAATTTATTAATTAAATTTCTATGCCGCCCCTCTCCGAAGACTCAGGAAGACTGAAGGAAGTGATTATGACCATTTTGTCACACTTTTGACTGTTGTGGCATCCCCAAGCTCATGTGATCAAAATTTGAATGTTAGTATCTAATTTTAAAAAAATAATGAAAAAAAGTAAAAAATGTTGTAAGAAAGTTCAAAAAGTGGTAGGGCTGCAGTAACACTGGAAAAATTTAAAATATGAAAGTGATTTCCTTATGGAACGGTTGTTTGACATGCGTCTGAAGAATGAACCCATGGCTAATAATTGGAAGGATACCATTATTATCTATTAAGAGCAGTGGTGGGTTGCCCCCGATTCGCACTGGTTCTATAGAACCGGTAGTAAAACTGGTGGGAGGCTCCGCCCACTGACCCTGACATCATGAAAATGCTTCTGCGCTTGCGCAGAAGAGCGTGTGTGCGCACGAGCAAAGAGAGCGCACATGTGCGGCCCCGTTGCGAACCGGTAGTAAAGGTAAGTAGAACCCACTCCTGATTAAGAGTGAATGTTAAAACTGCAGGGGAATTGATTAGTTTATTAAATGTTTCTGGAAAGATGTTTGACAGAATCCTGAAAGAAAGGGAACAAGAAATAACAGTGAACAAAATCTGGTACATGTGGTTTTTGCTGAGGGTTTTTTTGCCCCCCATGGAGAATGATTTACATATCAAAAACTCATAAAAAGAAACCCAAGGGAAACGATAATGGTAATGTTTTCTCTTGACTGGCTCAAGGTTGACTCAGCCTTCCATCCTTCTGAAGTCGGTAAAATGAGGACACAGATTGTTGGGGGCAATAGGCTGATTCTGTATACAGCTTAGTGAGGGCTGTAAAAGCACTGTGAAGCGGTATATAAGTCTAAGTGCTATTTCTATTTTTCATTTTTTGATAAATCAATAGAAACCATTGGCTTTCCAAATGTAACTCACCAGTTGTAATTGTAGCACAATTTAAAAGTCAGTTGGTAAATAAAAGTACAAGTAGCCCTCGACTTATGACCACAATTCTGTTTCTGTTGCTAAGCAAGACATTTGTTAAATGACTTTTGCCCCATTTTATGACCTTTCTTGTCACAGTTGTTAAGTGAATCACTGCAGTTGTTAAGATGGTAACACGGTTGTGTTTTCCCACTGACTTTGCTTTTCAAAAGTCTGCAAAAGGTGATCCCATGACCACGGGACACTGCAACCGTCATAAATATGAGTCAGTTGCCAAGCATCTGAATTTTGATAACCATGTCCTTAGTGTGAAAAATGGTCATAAGTCACTTTTTCAGTACTGTTGTAACTTTGAATGGTCACTAAATGTATTGCTTTAAGTCAGGGACTACCTGTGTAAGATTGATGTGATGTTAAGTGTAATTGAAAGATGAGGACTGAGTAAGTGGCTCACTATAATCACCTTTTGGGCCTTTCTCCATTGTTGAGATGAAGTGCCATCCTCCCATTCTTGAGGTGGCATAAAACTGGTCTGCTGGATGTGAATCTTCTCCTATTTCTAATCCCTCTCTTTCTATGTGTTTTGAAGCTTTGATGAATTGTAGGGAGCCATGGGGGTGATCTTGGAGAAGGCATCCAAAGGAGAAATTTCCTGAGCAATTAATCAGTGGAATGACTTGCCTCCAAAAGTTGTGGGTGCTCCAATACTGGACTTTTTAAGAAAGAAACTGGACAGTCACTTGTCTGGAATGGTACTATAGGATCTCCTGCCTGAGCAGGGGCTTGGGCTAGAAGACTCTTCTAATTCTGTTATTCTGTAATTCTGCATCCAGATGACAACATGACAGTGACAAGTACCAAAGGGAAGAAAGGAAAGTGCTAGAAAAACACTCAGTCTGGCTTCCTTATAATTTTCCTAGGGTATAAGTAAAAGGGAGGGATGGGAAAAAGCAGGCAGACTTCTGAGC